CAGGGGCCCTGGCTGAGAACGGCATGACATTCAAGCTTGTCAAAGAGACGCACATTTGACACCCATGTCCATAAATCTCAGAAACTCCCTCCGGATAAACAGGATGGATGCCTGCCTTTAAGGAACCTTTTTGTTCTATAGGAATAAAAAGTGGGATTCCAGGCATTTCCAATATTCCATTGTTCTGAGTTCAGGATCAGCACTTTGTTTTTGAATAGTATTAGTCACTAACTGTTTGCAGACTCTTAGCAGACAAAGGGACATGAAGAAATATAAGAAAATAGTTAAAATATATTAGAGGTTATCTAAGCAGGTACCTGAAGAGAAAAAGAGAAGCAGAAAGGGAAACTTTTATGCAACCGACTGCTAATTTTGGTGTTCTGCCTTATGGATGTCAGATTCCTGAAAGGAACAGAGGTGGGGAAATTTCATAGTTTGCTGCATTTTGTTAAATAGTAAGCCACTATACCTTGATTATTAATCATTACACTCACAGCCGCATTGACGGTGGTGTGTGTGTGTGTGTGTGTGAGAGAGAGAGAGAGAGAGAGAGAGAGAGAGAGAGAGAGATCTACCCAAAACTAAACTGGAAAGCTCTCAGAATGCCAGGAAAATGTATTTTGCAAAGGCAGATAAGGGGAAGCAGAAAATAACTAATTTCAGCAAGTACATTGACCAGTCAGGGTTGATGAGAAAGTTCTGTTCTTAGTCCTTCACAATGGGAGATGGAGGGAAGGGACAGGGGAGAAGAGAACATAGCAAGGGAGAGAGGTAACAACATAAAATAACAAGTGGGGTAGCACTTTGCTGCCTGATCCTGAATTGTTTGATAAAACTAATTAGCTCTTCCCCAAAAAACGTATCCATGTATCCATCGGACTATAATAGTGGTAGTGTTATTTTTATTACAAACTTGATTGTTTTTCCTTTTTGAGCTTCTTGCATAAATAATGTTCATTGTGAAGAAATGATAGGCTCTTATGGTATTGTCCAAGGATTTGGTTTTGTTTTTTGGAGTAAATTAATTGAAAAAGAACTGGATCTAGATAGAAAATTGAAATTGCATGTGACACATTGGAGCATTTTCAGAAATTTAACTCTATTCCCCTGGGCTCAAAATTAGAGCCAGCACTGCCTACCATATCACAGCTGAGATGAGTAGGAGAAAGAAAACTTTTGTGTTCCTTTCCTCTTTGCCAAAATCTCTGCTTTGGCTTTCATATTCCGGGATACCAGTGAAAGCCAAAACCAAAATGTCTCATGGGACTTCTTTGACATGGGTGACATAAAATTTAATGTCAGGCAATGTCAGCTCTGACCCAGCTGTTTTTCTCGGGTATTAAGCCCACAGTGCAGAATCTGTATACGCAAAGTGTCTGTCTCAGTGAGGTCAATGGTAGTGAAAAGTTGATGACAACCAAGCGCCTAGATGAGTCTCTGGCCAGGAGTAGACCCCCCTCACCCAAATACATGTCATTAAGGAATAAATTAAACATGTAACTATATAGGGCATCCATGAAATGAAAGGCTAAGCAAACAGTGACTGTATTTGTTAAAATCTGTCCTTGTATGAGATTGAAACAAAAGCCCCTGATGGATCTCCTTGCTCATTCTTGCTGCCCTGTACGGTCTTCCTCACACAGCAACCAAATGAATGTTTTGAAGGAAACAAGGGCCGGTGGTGTCAGCGCAGGGATGACAGCCCTCCTCCCGTTGCCAGTACATCCAAGAAGATGGTGCCTTGGCTGTGCCATGATCTGACTCCTGCCCTTGCTTCCTGCAACCATTTCCCAGTCTACCTCAGGCTTCCTTTCAGTTTCTGCAGTATGTAGCGCTCACTCTCCTCTAAGGCTCTCTAACTAACTGCTTGATCTGCTTCAAATGGTCTTTCCCTCTGGCTGCCTAATACTGTCCTCCTTTAATCAGTTGGTTATTTTTTTTCCCCTTATGCAAACATAATCTTTGTGAAGGCAGGGATTCTATCTTGTTTCTTATTCTGCTCCCATCCCTTCATTACTGATGATCAAAGAATCAACAAATGTAGAAAACTGTGAAAGGCTATAACCCACATATTAATGATCATGATCACTAGGAGGAAGATTTGGGGTAATTTCAAGGGATGTTTTTCTTTTTATTCATTTGCATATCTAATTGTTCTGCCGAGGTCATGTATTGGGTACACAATTTGAATACTTGTGTAGGCTTAAGAAAGTGGTGTTGAATTTAGGCTTCTAGGCAGTTGCAAAGAATGTGTTACCTGTACGCTCCGTGCTGTGCAGTAGGTGCTGAATAAGTGTTTGCTGAGTCCATTCAAACCTTTATTCAAAGGCAAGTCATTTCCCCTAAGATCTGTCATTAGCTGCCCATCAGGTCCTGTGTAGGAGGGAAGCGTGTGATTGGCATTGGGTGCAGATGGAGAGAACAGTGTCTCCGGCTTTCTGACCTGCATCCTAATGCTGAGCTATTCTCTGGCAATCAGTTACTTTGCTCCAGGGAAAACCCACTACACACAGCACACATGAGGCACTAGCATGTGATTTGCTTCAGTACACACTGCTTTTTCAGTGATTGTCGAGCCTTGAGCACCACATGTAACTGAGGCACTGGGAGAACTGTCTGCCTGTCTTCTTTAAGAAAAAGAATCTACAGTATAGTTGACCCTTTCCAAATCACTTGATTTTAATAGTAAATTGGTCAATAAAGATTCTTCTTACATACACTTAGTTTAGAAATAGTAATAGTAGTTATGGTCTTAAAATAGAAGGGTTATTTGTTAAAAGTGTGTGCTGGTAAATTGGAAGTCATTTGTTTCAGTGTTTACAGCCCTTTTATAGGCTGCTAAATCCTTGAATGATGCAGTAGCTCAAGTAAAGCTCATTCATGAAGTTCATATCCTGTTTTTTTTTTAAAGATTTATTTATTTATTTGTGCATACAGAACTGGGGTACAGGCCAGAGGTTCAGGGGCAGTGAGAGGCTTCACCAGAGACAGAGTGGGGAGCAGAACAGGCAGATCGACGAAGTACACTGCTGAGGGGAGCAGCGGGC